TAGAATCAGCGGTAAAAATTTGTAGCAAGTGACATCTATAATTTTAAAGCTTAACTAAATGAAAAGTAGTGAAGAAAATTTTAAATTATTTTATATCCTTATAACTTTATTAAACGAGTCACCATTCATCTTTTACTATTTCAATTTCAGTACCTGATGGTTTACATTTTTGATTAAAAGTTTTAATTTAAAACCCATTCTATTTTTTATATCTACTGTTCAAGTTGAATTTTATTTATAGATATAGTATACTAAAAATGGTAGAAAAAATGGTAAATAAAGCCAGTTGTTATGACAATGGTCAAGAAAAATATGGACGCGGTTTTTGAACCATGCCATTATTATATTTTGAATGATTTAACGTATCTAACGCCTCGGTATGTAATTTGCTTACCGACGCGTATAAGCGAAATAACTAAAATACCTGAATTTTGCATTTTTTGACAAAATAAAACATATATAAATTGTATAAGTAAGTTTTTTCATAGGAATATTTGGACTTGTTATTATACATTAACGTCCTATTTCCCTCGATTGTTAAATATCTGCATTTTCTTCTCTCAGAATCACTCATAGTTTTTTATCAGTAAAACTGACAATATACAGTGTGTTATTTAAGTATGTGGCCTAACTTCAAGGGGTGATTCTTTGAATGATTCTAAGATGAAAAGTTATATAAACATAGCTCCGGTAATACTTACAACATAAATAAATAACTTTTTTTTTAAGTAAGTATCCTAATAATCCCTTGGCCGAATTTATTAAAGTTTGGCAGTATTATTTATGGTAGTAAGGTGCTAATTTTCCCTTACTATATTAAAAAAAGTCCAGTGGCGTCCCGAAGGCACTTGAACCAATATTTTTGACAAATTGCGCAATTTTTGTAAATGAGAAGAATACGCAAAGTAATATGAAGTTGAAACTTTTTGACAGTTTTTAATGTAATACAAATAAATCATTTAAGCTAAAAATGGTTTGTCTCATTTTGCTTTAACCATTTTTTATTAAGAATATTAAATATTAAATATATTTAATAATTATAAATACGTACCTACATACGAACTGTTTACAGTTATGTCGGTTCCCAACTAGCATTTATGGTGGCAGATACGTAACTGCTACTATCAAAGCCACTACAAAGGGGGCGGTGACCATCGGCGGCTCCGTTGTATATTCGTAGCTGCTAAGTAACTGCGACCAAAATGGGGAAAGATTTTGAGTACCCGGGTAGTGTCTTGGGTAGTTTTTGCCACTAAAAGAGTTACTACGATATGTTACTATAAAGTAGCCTACTGGTGAATGCGACTTATTTGTTACGAAGCTGCCTAGTCGCGGGGTCGTGGCAGCCTAGTGTTTTCCTCCGACAGGTAGACCTTTTTTTAAACTATTAAACTTTATTCGCAGCGACCTCTTCATGTAATTTTACACTTCCTAAAATAAATGTCATGATGGAAAGTAATTATGGAAGCCATTATTATTTTTTTGTTATTTACCATGCGATTTTAACGCCTTTTGTGGGTCAATTCCAAAACGCAATCGACTTTACTGAATAAAATAGTGGGTTTATATGACAAAATTTTCGAGCGCCTTTCAAAACATTTCAAATTATTATATTATTTGCAATAGAAACTCATGTAGTAATTAAAAAAAAATTAATTTGCTCGAAACTGGCGTGAAAATATAAACTAAAATATTAGTCCACCGTCACAAATAACAAAATATCTAAGGAAAAAATCTTTAGTTTAGGTATATTTAGCTTAAAAACGCAAAATGTTTGAGCCATTTGGTTGTTCGTCTATAAAGTCATGAAAAAAATATGGCCGTTTAATCCGAAAAATACTTTATAGTTCCATATGCTTCCACAAAGTACCGGGAACAATAATATATTAGGCCAACCCTACCCGTTTGGAACTTTAAAATCTTCGGATTGATAAAGTGACAATTGCAACTACCCAGAGACGACTTTATGGAAACAATAACTTTTTGGGAACTACATGGTCCACGATTCTTTGGAACTATAAAGTGATTTTTTCCAAGAAAGTTCCCTGCGCCACTAAATTGTCACTTAATTGCATCGTTTATGCTACACCGATCGCGGCGTGCCACTATAACGTTCCGCCTTATCCTTTGAAGTTCCCGTTTGGCGACGCGAGAATCGTATTTTTTGTAAAATGCAAATTGAATATTATCAAACCTAATGTTTTACTGGTTATTGCAATTCTTATGATCACATGACAATTATTCATTTATTTTCAAAAAAAATAATTATTATAAAAAAACAGGACCCACACCGTATATGACGTCACTTCCGTCTCGTGTCGTTTTTTCTAGGTTTATTAATTACTCTCTTAAATCTTGAAACGTTCTCTTCCACTTAATCTTTGAATTTGAAGCCTCGACTCATTTGACATTTAAGGTATTTCAGTATAGTCAACGAAAGAAATCATATTTATATGTTAACTGCTTATGTTTAAAAATTAATAAATCTTTGTAGTATCACAATATTTTCAACAAATTTATTATACAAAAACAGGACCCACACCGTATATGACGTCACTTCCGTCTCGTGTCGTTTTATCTATGTTTATTAATTACTATCTATCTTAAAACGTTCTCTTCCACTTAATCTTCGAATTTGAATCCACGACTTAAGTAGAGAGCATACAATATTCATTTTTACATAGCCCAAATACCTACAAGTAAGGCAGAATGAATAACATTCATCAGCCCAAGATTTGAACGCTTGACTCAGGTGTAGAAATCAGAACATACATCAACTTTGATTGCAAATACTTCAGGGAAGTATTGATAAACTTGACCCATTAAGAATATTTAGCACCTTGAATTTCTTATATTAAATTCCTATTAATCACAAAATATTTAAAGACTATTAAGGTGAAAACGTTCACGTAAGATAGAATAAATAATATTCATCAGCACCTCGATCAGAACGAGATTTGAACACTTGACTCAGGTATAGAAATCAGAACATGCATCAATTTTGACTGTGAATAGGTACTTCAAACAGCTTCAAAAATGTCACTACCTGATTTATGATGTTCATCAGTAGGATTATAGAAAGATGTAGTTTTTGTTTCTGATGTTGATGCTTCGGCTCGCAGTGATTCCTTTTGTTTAATTCTTTGATAGAAAGTACTAGAATATCTAAATTTCTTTTTATTTACCTTAGGCATTTTACAGAATTTTAATAAAGCTTAAAATTAAGAAAAGAAAACACCAAAACAGAGCAGCACACTATAGTGCATAACATATATGCAATCTGAGGCAATTACATTCATTAGGGTATATTAAGTTATGGTCACTATTAAGTAGCCATTTTTCCATCCCCGCGACTTTTTAGTGGCAAATGATAAGCGACGGCTACTTTATAGTGACCTAGGAAGGTAGCAGTAACCATTTTGTTACTTTCAATGCTACTATAAATTAGAGGTAACCAGGTGTCGTGGCCGCGACTACCCCGTAACTTAAATTATTACTATAAAGTAACAAAAACTTAATGGAGGCATTATGGTAGCACTTGTTAGTGACCGCTACTTTAAAAAGTTACTATAAAGTTTTTGGTCTTTTATGGTGTCATATTCGAAGATTCAGGTAGTTCCAGCCACTTCTTTAAATTACATGTTTGCCACTTGCAATCAGGGTGTTTATTTTCCACTTTTATGGTAGGTAGGCACTAACCAGTCACTCTTGAAATATACTTCAAAGTGACTATTCCTTATAGAGTAACATTTTAAGTGGCAGGGTGGGTCTAGGAACTATACTTTAGGGGCAGTGACATTTAAAAAGGACTGGGAACTATATTTGCTAATTGGGTTATGTTTAGTCAAATTTGTTTGAACAAGTACTGTTTTTTAAAAATTTTAAAATATGACTCGTATAATTTTAATTGCTGAATCATAAATAAAAATAACTTTATTGCATGTCCATGGATTTTTAATAATAATTATTAATAAAACACATTTTTTTTATTGCTTGCATTAATTTTAAAAATAATTTCTAAGACTAGAATAATATGGATAAAAATAACAGGTACACCCCAGTTTTTGATAATTTGGTAGTTTTATTTTTTTATTGTTGACCCTTCAATATTTGTTATATTATACTTTAAAGTAATTTTTATTTTATTTTTTTAAAAACGAAGCAAGATACAATAAAATGGTAAAAATAAAAAGTTGTATTTTTAGTTGCTTAATGCGAAAAAATATAAAACTTGCAAAAAAGTTAGTGGCGCACATTTTTTTGTGCTCTAAATTTTAATCCAGTTAGGGTTAAATTAGCCCCTTACTACCATAAATAAAACTGCAAAATGTTAACAAAATCGGCTAAAGGATTATTAAGATATTTACGAAAAATCGATTTTCACCCTATATTTTCAAAACGAAGCATTACCGGACCTATGTTTATATAATCTTTTTGTTTTAAAATCATTCAAAGAATAACCCTTGAAGTTTGGCAACGTACTTAAATAACACCCTTTATATAATTACAAACGTATCTATAACAACTTATTTAAAACATTGCTAAAAGTTTTGACAAAAAATAAAAATCAAGTCAAGAGTCTTCGTCTCGTACAAAAATATAGTGAGATTGTTAATATTGTAATATTGTTAGTAAGATTTGTAATAAAAGGACAAGAAATATTTTAATTTTATATCCAATTAATTTTTATTTTCAACAATAAAATGTAAATAAATGTAAAATAACACATTCAAACAAAAAATATTCTAATTGCAACTACAAATTTATTTTTTAATTACAATAATTGTAATTATTACAATATATTTTGTCCTTAATTATCAAAATTGTTACTTAACTCCTTTATCCACTTGCTTCTTTAATATGGATACTTGGGAATGCCTAGAGACTTGGAACGCGGAAGTTTTTCCAACCAGGTTGAGATTTGGACTTTTGACCGGTTTTTCCGATCCGTCCCAACGTCCATCGGTGTTGTTTTTCAAATAAGACTTTATAAACCGATGCAAAATTGTCATGGTCATTATTCTAAAATAAGGTACAAGATGGATAGGTTTGTGTTTTCTTTCCTGTGTATGGTTTCCATTACATTTGCGTTGCATATTCGTAAGTTTTATAGAAAAAACAACGAATAATTATTTAAAAATATTCATTTATTTTTAGCAAGTTATATAAAGCCGTGTAAGAAAAATGATCCAAATCTTAACGATTGTGCTTTAAAGCAAACCAAATTGGCTTTTCCCTTTGTTTCAAAAGGTATTTAATATATTAATATATTTTAATTATATTTATAAATAATTTTATTTTATTTTTAATTTCAGGTGATAAACAATTTAAGGCGCGTCCTTTAAACCCATTCTTTTTACCTTTCCTTGAAGTAGACGCCGGAGCAAATTTAGAATTAAAACTGATTAATTTAACTGTCAATGGACTTGATAATATTGAATTTAAAACTGTAAAGTAAGTTTTTTTTTAAATAAGCATAAATATGTATATCGTCATTTTTATTTCTTTATAGCTATGACATAGAAAATAACAAATCCCGTTTTATAATGTCGAGCACTCTGAACTTTGTTGGAAAATATGAAATTAATGGTCAAATTTTGGTCCTTCCAATAAGAGGGGACGGAAATTGCAATATAACTTTTAGTAAACCATCAAAATACAGAAATAATAATTTGCTAAACTATATTTTCAGGTGATGGTGATTTTATATACGATACCTACTGGACATTCGTAGAAAAAAACAGCCAACAATTTGCAAAAATAAATAATACCAAGCTGGATATGAAATTAAAAAGAGCCCATTTCAACTTTGAAAATCTTTTTAATGGTGACAAACTTTTGGGAGATAATATGAACAAGGTATTAAATGATAACTGGGAAGACGTAATGAAGGAAATTGGACCTGGAATTACCCATACCTTAGATGTTGTGGCTACTTCTATTCTAAAAGCTTATTTTGAAAACATCCCTTACGAAGAAATGTTTGTTTAATTTAAAATTATTTATAAATATGATATAAATAAAATAAACTTTTATGTTTTCTATAATTTTTTTAATAACCCAACATAAACATAAATAAATAAAAAAAATACTAAAAAATCACTAATAACTGTAGTCCACAAAAATTTGTATCCCGGACATTTACCAGCCAATTCTTATTAAAATTGTCCCTTGAATCCATAAAAAATTATGAAAGTAGAGCAGTTTTTGAGATATAGTCAATTCCATATTATATGGAAAACGTTTAGGGTTGCTATAATTCTTGTTAAGTGATATGGGACATCTGTGGGGAGGGGAATGGTAAAATAGTGTACACGATAATGATTAAACACGGGTGACTTATATATTATACAAAAAAATGCCCACATTTCCAAAATTATGTGCTATTGCTAACTTCCCTATTATTGGAGCTACAAAGTCAGTTATATTAGCAAATTGGTAGCATTTTTTCTTCTGATTAAAATGGTGAACACAAAAAAACAATTGAACGCCGGGTTTTCGAAACATTCAAAAATATAACATTTTTTAAATGGAACATCCTATATATTTTTATATATTTAAAAAAAAATTAATTTGGAACAAAAAATTATTATTAAAAAACTACCCTAAACTTAAAAATAAACAATGTACAAATACGTATTTGCCATATAATTTATATATTTTTTATTTTTTTTAACATAATCTTTCCAAAATTGCCATTTTGCCAATATAAAAAAAAATCTTAAGCCACATTTAAGTTTTATAGCCTTTGTGTTATCAAGCATCAGTGATGTGCCAAAATCATCATAAATAAAATCTGTCAAAAAGTTTTAACTTCACTTTTCTCCTTTATGTCTTTATTTTTTCCAATAAAAATTACTCAATGACAGTATAAAAAGCTCAGCCAAAAACTATTAACTCTTATTTATTAAAATATAAATATTTATTTAAATAAAGTGTTTTGTTTGGAACATCATTAGTACTGCTAATTATAATTAATTATTTTATAAATAAATAATAATTTTAACAAAAATATTGATTTCCTTGAACAGAGTAGTAGTATAAATACCTATTTTTAGCAATACACAATTAACTATCTAGTTAATTGTGTATTGCTAAAAATAGTATAAATAATATTAAAAAAAACTTTCTTGACCTCTTTAAATTTAATACTATAAAAATAACAAGAATGTCCCGAAAATGGCAACTTGATTTTTTTTACAAACTGTTAAAAAATACATCTGCCCAGTATTTGAATTGTTTTTATATTAGAATCTAATAACACTGTCAAAACCAGAGCTGGCCAAGTACTGAGTACTTTTACTCGTATTTCAATCTGTACGAGTACTTTTTTCCTCATAAGTATTTTTCATTTGAAATACTTATTACTCGTACTTACAAACCAAATTCAATGTACTCGTAAAAATACTCGTGGAATTCACGAGTAATATATACGAGTATTTACGTTTATAATATCGATGACTTTTTTAAATGCATTTTATGAAAAATTTTTAAAATAAAAATTAAATGATTCGAATGGGGAAATAATCAATCAGTACTAAAATTGGTCCTCATACTTTTCTCCTTATAGGGGGAACAGGGGGTAACTTTAACATTTTATGACATTTTTAAATTTTGATATATATTTTATGACATTTTTAAATTTTGATATACAGGGTGTCCGGGAAAATGAAGTCAATCCGTTAATCATATATTCTTTGAGTTAAAACAATAAGACTTTCATAATACCATTTTTCAATTTAGAGCTTCATGTTCGATATACAGGGCGACAAAGTTTGAAATTTAAAACTGATTTTTTTAAATAATTCGAGTAATTGATAAGATATTAAGTTCAAATTCGGTACACTACTTCAACATAAATAGTTACATTTTTTGAGACCAACAAAACAAAAAACAATTGTCAAATAATCAAAATAGGGGGGGTCCAGTACTCACTGACTCCCCCTATTTTTAGTACGTGCGCCAATGACTTCCAAACGGTATTTTTTCAGGTAATCATTTATTGTTAAAAAAAAATTGTCTCTTATAAAATTTTGATAAAATGATTTGTTTTAGAGATAATTTGTAAAGTATGGGTCAGTCCATATCAAATCAACCAAAGGTTCTTCCCCCACCATCTCCGATTTTGATAATTTTTGGTAAATTTGTTTACCTCACTAAAAAACTCAAAAATCCCATATATGAATTTTTTTCGATGGGTGGTTTTTGTTTTATTGATTTTTGAAAATCAAAAAATTCCGATAAATTTGGGTACTTACAAAAATAGCGATATCTTGTAAACTATTAAAAGTAGAAAGGTGAGTGATGGCTTATTTTAAAGGCCTATTAGAGGCCTTTTTTTATGATATATCACATGACCTAAATTTTTTCAAAAAAAAAAATTAAATTTCAAAAATTTGATATGGATTAAGCCATACTTTACAAATTATCTCTAAAACAAATCATTTTATCAAAATTTTATAAGAGACAAAAAATTTTCAACAATAAATGATTACCTAAAAAAATACCGTTTGGAAGTCATTGGCGCACGTACTAAAAAATAGGGGGAGTCAGTGAGTACTGGACCCCCCTATTTTGATTATTTGACAATTGTTTTTTGTTTTGTTGGTCTCAAAAAATGTAACTATTTATGTTGAAGTAGTGTACCGAATTTAAACTTAATATCTTATCAATTACTTGAATTATTAAAAAAAATCAGTTCTAAATTTCAAACTTTGTCGCCCTGTATATCGAACATGAAGCTCTAAATTGAAAAATGGTATTATGAAAGTCTTATTGTTTTAACTCAAAGAATATATGGTTAACGGATTGACCTCCTTTTTCCGGACACCCTGTATATTCGTTTTATTTTCATATTCGTCAGTTGGCAACACTATATTTGATTTTGGTGGGAAAACAAAAACCCAGAAACGTTTTTGTTTACTGCATTTAAATGAGGTACATTTCAGGAAAATTTGGTACATTTTTAAAAGCCGAATTTGGTACTTTATTTTTTCTACTACTGGCAATACTGTGGTAAGTAATAGTTCTAATTTAATAGGATATATCCAGAGTTATCCATGTTATCTCTGATATATCATACGATTATAATGTGGTGAGGCAAAAAACGTCTGCAATGATGAACCATTTAATTTCAAACACATTAAAAACGTAATACGTCATACTTGATTGTGATTGGCGCTAATCATATTGGGTGCGCACTTAGGTTCTATTTGTTCTGTGCCGATGTATACGCGTCAAACATAATATAAAAATAAAATTTGTACTCCTGTCTCTAGTCTTCGTGCACAACGTAGTGCTTTTATTTTAATAATGCACCCCTAATAAAGTTTATCAATGCACCCCTAATAAAGTTTATCAAGAAATTTTTAATTGAAATTTCAATTTACAGTAAACTTTGGAATGAGTGTTAAAAAGTTGTATCAAGGGTCATTTAATATTTTAAAGCTTGTTCAAGGTTGTAAAAAAACTTCAAATTATTTTTTTCTTATATCTTTATTAAACGAATCACATTCATCTTTTACTATTTCAGTTTCAGTATCTGATACCCTAAACAAACTGCTTTGTTGATTATAACCCGTTTTATTTTTTTCCTCATAGTCTTTTAATACTGAAAACACTTTTCTTTCGGAAAAACTTGTATACGTTTTATTATTTTCTTCGTAGTCTTTTAATATTGAAAACTCCCTTTTTCCAGAGAAACTTGCAGAGTTAGTTAGGGAGTATTCTTCAGCAGAACTTATGCTTAGGAACTTCATTTTTTTCTCTAAACGATTTCTGACGATTCTATTACATTTACTACAGCGTTTTTTATTGTGGGATTCGCAGGATTTACTTGGTTTTGATGAAGAACTAAAATTTAATACAGCAGATGCAGTGGTTGATTCTGAAAGCGATTGACAATTTTTGTCTTTTTTCGATATTTTAAATAAACTGGAAACCCTACACCAAAAACTTGGTCTTTTTATTAGTAAGGCACATAAGGATAACTTTTTTTCTGGCACACACTCTTCCTCCTTGAACTTCTTCAAATTCTCGTCTGCATCCTTAATTTTCAAAACTTCCAAACCAGCCACACTGGGTAAATACAACAAATCGGTGAATCGTTTCTCGGGGAATTCCGGCGGAGTCAGATTCGTGTTTTTTTCTTTATTTAATTTGGCTATGTAATCCTGCAAAAAAGCTGCACCTGCCGAGCTGGCCAAATTTTCTTGACACAAATAGGCCTCTATTTCATTTTTCGATTTCGGTACCGAAATATTACGCTCATTCATACTATGGGAATCATTTTAAGTTTAAAGCGGTTCTTCATTATTAGGTCAAAATGACAAGCAATTTTGAAAAGTGACACGGAAAAATTTGGTTATGTTAAGTTGGATAAAATCCCTAAATAATATCTAGGAAATATAGTTTGACGTTTGTACTTATATTTGCAAACTCCGCTTAATAGATGGCGTGTTGTGCCAACTCTATAGAGTATAATGAATTAAGTTCGTCTGAAGAAATTATCTTTAAACTAGGCCATTCATTGGTACGTAGGTAAGAATCTAATTTATTTTTAGATTCATTTTTTTTTTCAAACTTTTCTGCCCTGCGCTTTAAAGCCAATCCTACTGTGCAAATTTGTCCTACCATTTTTTATATTTGAGGATCTACTCTGCAAAACGCAGTTTTCAATAAAGAAATTAGAGTTTTTGTAAAAAATTTAAAATTAAAAGAAACTTAGGCCCTTTTAATTACTAATTATTAGAGATGGAATTTCAGTGTTATTACCTATTTACCTAAATTTTCATTTTCAAGAGAAATTGACCTAAATTTTAAATTTTACCACCTAAACTAGTGTAATTTTACCTATTATTTTTAAAAGAAATATACCAAATTTTCAAATTTTACCATCAAAAACATGTTTTTTTGTAATATCGGATGACATAATTCTTATGTAGATATTCTTACTGTACAAGATTGGTAATATGGGTTGGTTGGGAGTGGTTGACACTGGGATTCCCAGTCTGGGAATCGCGAACAGCGACGCGAGTGTGACATTCCTGTGCAATGTTGCCAGGTCTCATGCTTTTGCATGATATCTCAAGTTTTTCCAATCAATCTTATGTTATTATGTTTTATTTAAAAATCTTATGCATTTGTACAAATTCAAGCAAATTTGTGCTTTTTTATGAGAAAGTATTTTTTAAAACATTCTATCATAATAAATGATTTTTTTATTTTCTTTAATTGTATGCTTAATAAGCATTGCTTATTAACAAAAACATTTTGAATATGCCGCCGCATTAAAAAGTTATAAAATGTATACTATCGTATTATAATATTTTTACAAGATATATTCGTCAGTTATTTTCAAATTTATCAAATCATAAAAAAAAAGTTTTTCCTCCAATCAATCTTATGTTATTAGGTTTTATTTAAAAAATCGCATGCATTTGTACAAATTCAAGCAAATTTGTGCTTTTTTATGAGAAAGTATTTTTTAAAACATTCTATCATAATAAATGTAATTTTTTTATTTTCTTTAATTGTATGCTTAATAAGCATTGCTTATTAACAAAAACATTTGAAGGGGTTAGAATAAAAAGGGTATAAGTAACATTTTCATTTTTTGGAGATATTTGAAGTTAAAGTTATGTTACCATAAAAAAGTGAAGAATTTTGTTTAGTAGTAATTTTCTACTGGATAATAGAGGTCCCTAGAAGTATGAAAATTACTTAAATCCTTTTCATTTCGATACGTCGGAACCTTATCTTTCACAAAACGAACTTATCTCCTAAATTAAAGAAATTGCACTTATACCCTTTCTATTCTAACCCCTTCATTTTGAATATGCCGCCGCATTATAAAATTATAAAATGTATACCTACTATCGTATTATAATATTTTTACAAGATATATTCGTCAGTTATTTTCAAATTTATCAAATCATAAAAATCTCCCAAGCAGCATTTTTGGTTCCAAAAACCATTGCAAAGTGGTGATAACTTTAAATTAGTTAAGTATACTAAACAGCTACTTTAATTTTTACTTAAAAGTAATTCTAACTTTTAAATAGCAATATTTTGTAACAGAAACTTCATTCTTTCCTTAAATGGTTACTATAAAGTAATAAACATTTAAGTAAAAGTTGTTTGTCCTCAAGAAGACTTTGCAACTTTAAAAAAGGTGTTATAAGTAAAAAAAAACGTTTAAGTAAATTTAATTTGTAGCAGTTACTTTCGGTTGCAACCTAAAGATTACATTATAATTATTTTTACTTTGTAGTTCCTTTGCAAATCTCGAAACTGGAACATGAGTTAAAAACTACAAAGTTAATAACTTAAAAGTTATTATTTTAGTATTTGGAACGATTATGGTACGAACCAAAACTACCGTAAAGTAAATTAAGGTGGAAAAAACTTTAAAGTAGCGAAACCTACTTCAAAGGAAAATGCTTCCTATCCGCCATTTTTTACTGTGCAGTACCACGTCGTAATGTAAATAATAAATTATTTTAATTGTTTGAGACGGTATTAATAATTAAATAAAAAATTAATAATAAATAGGTATTAAGATTTTTTATTTATAAACATTATTAAATAAATAATTTGTTTATACTTAAATATTGATGAAGCGCATTTATTTTACAAAAACTTAATTTATAACTTTAACAGTAATTTAAAGGGTTTATAAATTTACCTGCCTAATTAAACATTATATTGTTATTCTGGAAGTTATAAACTATAGTTTATAGTATACCAGTATACTGGTATACTATAAACTGTGTATACACATTGAAAAGCCAAGTCCTTAGTGGAACGTTCCATTTAAAAAAGGAGGGATAGTATAATCTAATATAAGTTTGACAAAGACAGTTAATATAGAAGTAAAAACAAATTAATAAAAGTAATTATAACGCTCTAGCAACGATATTGAAACGTTCTAGTAACGTAGCAGCTACGTTCCAAATAGTAGCAGGGTTATTTGCTACATTTTTGGAACTCAATAATTGTTCCCCAATTTAGTCGTAACTTAGTAATGAAAGAGTAATATAAAGAGACCGGCGACTGTCCCAAAACACTTTAAAGTTTCTTCAATAGTCCCATATACGTAACAAATACTTAAATTGTTGCTTGGGCTTGTTCAATAAAATTTTATACAATAATAAATTAAATTAATTTACCACCTAAAAGTTGATACTTGAAAAAGGACAACTTTGGTGATATGAAACAAATATTAGAAATATTCCCCAACACCAAAACAAAACACAAAGTGCAAGCGCATGTGTTTTGTTTTGGTGTTGGGGAATATTTCTAATATTTGTTTACCTAAAAGTTGCTTTCCACTACTTATTTTACGTACCAAATTTAAGAATTTTCTCACCTAAAACAAGACAAAACTTTACCTATTTACCTAAAAGTTGCTTTCCACTACTTATTTTACGTACCAAATTTAAGAATTTTCTCACCTAAAACAAGACAAAACTTTACCTATTTAGGTTTCTATTTTTATAAATTTGCATCCTAATATCCCATCCCCATATTAATTAATATTAAATTTAAAATTAAAAAATTAGTCTAAACAATTGCACAGTAGAACACATAAGGAGCTACTCTGCAAAACGCAGTTTGCAATCAAGAAATTAGAGTTTTTGTAAAACATGTAAAAATCAAAGAAATTCAAGACCATTTAATAATTATTACATGTTTTACAAAAACTCTCATTTCTTAATTGAAAACTGCGTTTGGCAGAGTAGCTTCTCATTTGTTGTACTGTGAAATTGTTTAGACTAATTTTTTAATTTTAAATTTACGCTACTATTCTTTTTTTTCACTATTTAAGTTTCATTAGAAAAATATTACATTGTAAGTCGATGTAATTCAGCTTGAAGCACCTATTCCTAAAAACGCAAAAACTGCGTTTTGTAGAATAGCTCCTCATTTATTCTATGTGCAAATTTTGGCTCTATTTTTTTAATTTAACAACTGCCATTTTATAAATATATGCTACTGTTTGAATTTTTTTGTCCTATAATACAACTGTTTCAATTTCGTCATACTGCAAAATTTTGTATGTAATTTTTCAGGACAAAAAATTTCACTGTGCAAATTACAAAATTATTTGTATTATGTTACTGTGTGCTTTTCTAAAAACCTAGAAGCATGACAATTATTTTAGTTTATATATTTTATTGCTTCTAGGTTTTTATTTAGTACCTACTGTGCGAATTTGTCCCACCATTTTTTTTAATTTTAAAGTATGTACAGTTAGAGAGTTATAAAAATCCGTCATTTATTGTGGGTTAAAAATAAAACAATTTGTTTTAAATTAGTAGATATTTATATATTTTTCTAAATACACCATGTTACGAGTTTATTTACGTTTATGATAGTATATAGGATATTTCGAATTAAGTAGGTATTATTTTACATTTTGATTTTGATTTGATTGAAGAACGAGTTATGTTTGTACTATTAATAAAAATAATGATGTAATATAATAATATATTATTTTATATGGAATTCTATACTGTTAATTTAAGCATTTTCTTTCTTTCTATACTAAATAAATTTATACATTTTTTAAAGGATTATACCCTGCTTCTAAATAAACAAACTTTTTTAAATGACTTGTTAGTGTGATAGATGAAAAATGAACATAAAATAAAATTATACAATTATTTGTCTCTCACAGCAAAAACGAAAAAAGATTTGCACATTATTTTTTTGGCTTATTACAATGATTTTTGTTAATTTCTCATAACAAAAACACTAACAAGGTCCAGACAGAGTGTACGTGAAAATGCAAATATTTTCAATATTTAAAGCACTTCACCAAAGAAATAAAATTATAAATAATTAAGACAGGCACACTTAGTGTTTATATACGTATTTACAATGATATGAAATACTTTCAACCATTCATTAAAATTAAAAACAAAGACTAGTTATTAGAATTTAGTTTTCCGAAACAGTTTAAACTTGGTATGATAAAATACTGGCTAAAATCGATTTTGTGATGTGATATTTATTCCTCCATAACGTTTAAATTTTCAAATTTGGCTTATTAAACAATATTGGGTTTGTAGCCGCTTGAAGCTAGAACTTTGTTGACGAAGTTACAAATAGCTGCAGAAGGCTGCTCTGGTTCCAATTCTGCAAATAGATGGCACTGGTTGTCTGAATTGCTAACGTTTGGTTTCCTTGCGACAAAACCAAATATATTACTGGAAAAAGAAATTTTAAATGTATCGTATGTTAAATAAAAATGTATAATATACATTGTTTATTTTGGAGAGGGTGGAGAAAAATGGGAAATAGATACCATTTGGAAAAAAGGTACAAACATGTATGGAATAAAATTATTTATTTGGATTGGATGAAAACATTTTCTAGACTAGTGGTACCAGTTAATCATTATAATAATAATATTTAAAGAAAAGGTTGTTATAAACTTACTTTGAACTTTTAACTGAAATACTATCTTCCTGCTGAACCAACCATCTGTGCCCATCAGGATCGACACCACAATGAGAAATGGTACTAATCGGGTAATGTTTTCTGAAGAACAACTTCCTCTTGTTGTCTGTAAGAGTGATTCCTTGTCCGTTGACTTTAAAATGAACCACCGCGGTTTCCGGTAAAGGCGCCTTTTGGAACAAAGTCATAACCGCCTTTTTAATCGCTTCCGGGCCCGTTAAAGACTCCATATCCATCGAGAACAAATACACAACATTGCAAGCTGCTCCTTGCGTGAAAACAGCCTGGCCAGGGTTGCCAGTTTCTATGTGACGCAAATCAGCTTCGGGCAAAGTGAGTCTGCAAGGCAGCGCCATCTGGGTTATAGAATGTTGGTACACCAAGGCGCTGAGTGAGCTAAACACGGGTTCGTTTTGGCAACCCTTTAGGCGGACCCCACGAGACGTTGGTTCAATGAGAAAGTGGCGGATAAGTTCGTCGCCTGAATGGGGTTTGTTCTGGAGATTTGAGGGCACCTGGGCCACCCTCAAAGCCATACCAAACGCCCCTGGGAATGAGTTTGAGTCTCTTACGATGAACGTGCCTGGTGGCTGACTTCTTAGCATTGTTATGGCTAAAAGAACAACAATTTTGTTATTATTCCAGCAAAGAAGACTTTTTTGTGTTTGGAATTAAAGATTTCTTATTTCTGTATCTTTTTTCTTAAAACTAGTTAATTTTGCTTGGTTATTTGGCCAATTAGTACTCCCTCACTTACCTTCTTCTCTGGTTATCGCGGGTTTATACCAGAACTTGGAAGTGTCCCTGACGAACTTCACGTGTATGGCGGGAACTTCGTGGGGCGCTTCGTTGTTGGAATTGATGGAACTTCTGCGCAAAGTGCCGTAATAGACTGTGGGCGAGGCTGATCCGTTGTAGTTGGGACTTTTCGGGCTTTGTTGGTAATCCGATGACACTCCAGAAGATGATACGCTTCTGTGCGCCGTTGCGTGGGAATATTCCGATCCGTTGGTTATGTCAGAGGGTGATTGGTCCTTTCTGGAATTAAGTTTTAATAGAACAGGTTCGGGATTGGTGACGGGTGATGTGATGGAGGATGATGGCGATGTTATGTGATTTAGATGAACATGCTTATAACATAAGAAGTGGTGCAGATTTTTTCATAAGAAACCACAATTCTTTTGATTAAATGTTTGAACATTTTTTCAGGCTAAACCTTGAACTTGGTTTCCTTTTTGGTCAAAACGTGGATACAAAGTATTTGAACATGCGTAACACAAATTGTTTGATAAATAATAAGTGGACATGCCCAACTCAACATTTATTGTTACCTTTCCGGACTCAATGACCACTTCTTAGTGAGTTTATTAGGCGACGGGCAACTCAATCTGCTATAAAATTAAAAAGCCTTATTGAAGCAAAAGCAAAAATCACCAAAAATCACCCAATGATTTAGAGTTTCCATTAAAAGATGTTATGTTAAATGTCATCTAATAAAAGAACTTTTCAAATAACATCTGTTAATGGAAGCCCCTTCAAAAATAATTTCTTGATTCTTACCGTTGGGTTATAGGACTTTTGGGTGGAAGTCGTTCGTGGGATAAGTCGAATTGTACAGTCGGTGTAGAAGCGTTTAAATATGGAGTCCGGGCGTGCACCGGAAACGCCGGAGTTTGCGGTCTGGGCGATGAACTGTGCGATGGAGATGTCTCCTCGTTGGCTGACTGGGATCGCCAGGAGTGAATGGAGTCTTCGCGATACTAAAAGGTATTTAAGACTTAATTAAAACGTTTCTGTAAGGTTTTTGGTCGTTTTTGAAAAAACACGTGTTTAAATTAAAAGAAAACCATGCGAAAACAAAAACAAAGATGTACAAGCTAAGGCTTGTAGTAAAGATTATTCAGAGCATAAAAGTGACTATGAAAATGACTTGGTTAGTACCTGCCATGCAGATGTGTTAGGACTATTGCTAGACTTGTCCGAGCCACTGGACAAGTTAGCAATAAGATCGCTTAGTGCATCGGAAGTGCTATCATTCCTCAAATCCGGTGATCGAGAGGTAGAAGTTGTGTTAGCCTCATTATCTATACCCACCAGTCCCCCTGAAGGGTATTGTTGTCTGCTGGTTTTAACGTATTGCTCTTGCTGCTCCACGCAAGACAACAGACCGCTGTCTACGGAGTCCGAGCCTCGGGAAGGTGCACGGACTATCTGACCCATCGGGTTCTGGGTTAGCATGGTGTGAGGTGAATCGTTACTCTAAAAGATTATTTGGTGATTTGTGATCAAAAATGTGCGTTAAGTATTTTAGTTTTAGTTTTAAACCTTCCTCAATCAAGCAAAATCTTACCTGTCTGTCATAGCCTCTCTTCACGCTCATAAAAGGCCTCTCCTTTACACCATAAGAACTCTTAATGGTGCTGTAAGTACTACTGTTGCCACTGGTGCCATTCTTGTACATGGTATTAATATGCAATGGTACAGTGTAATCATCGTCATCATCAGCGAACGCTGTTGTATCGCTGGTGTAACCATCCAACCTGTGACTCGCCGTAGGTCTCATGTGACGTGATTGGACGCTGCGAAGCTCCGACATAAGTCGGGTTTCGTGCGGTTGCCGTTCATTGTGCAGCTGCAGTTCGCGCCGTTCTTTCAGCTTCTGTTGCTGACGCTGAAGCCACGTCAAATTGCCATTTGTATATCTGAAGAAAAAAACATTAAAAATATTACTTGCATGGTTCTCACAACAAGCACATGTGCATCGTTTTTCATTAAAATAAATATTGAAATGTCTGGGTATTTTTCTTGCGAATGACTAATACACACAGCACTACTCTTGAGAAGCAGGATTTTTTTAGCCTGGTACTTGTCTTCCCATTTAAGATAAGCTAAGCAGGAATGTTAAGAGGTCGGCAACCTCAACTACACCAGCTACTGCTCTTCAATTTTCTGCAATTTTGTTTGCATGATTGTTAATATTGGTGTGATAAGTCTGGATTTACCGACACGTTTTTAATTATTTGATTTTGCGCTTATATAGTTTTTAATGATTATCTGCCATATATTTAGAACAGCGTAGGTAACAAAAATATTAGAGAACATACAAAATAAAAATTTTATTTTTATGTTATTAATGCTAAAAAAGGCCTTGTACGTGTTTTTCATAAAATAATTATTTTCGTTGTTTTTCATAATTTGGATTTTTAAAACAGTATTTACGTCACATTTGATTTGACGTCCAAAAACAATTTTTGTTAAAAACAGTTCTCCCGTCTTTATTCAAACCGTCATAAAATTAGCTAACAAAGTGGCAATAACAAGGAAACTTCTCTAACCGACCAACTAACTATACTCTAACCACATATTTACGATCCGTGGCATTCAATCTTTAAAATGGCCCGTGTCTCGTCATTATCTCGGAACAATGAATAAACGATCCCGATAGCGGTAATGTGCCCAATTACCATGGCAATTTTCGTCGATCCTTACCCACGCCGAATAGAGCAAATTACTGACCTCACCCACGATGTGGCCCACGGTAACATTTATATTTATTGGAGTTATTTGAAAACACTGAAAAAACTTGCGTTGACTTTATATGAACCTCATTTCCACGCCAAAAAAGGCAACACGTGGTTTATTCGGTGCAGAATGCTTTTTGGTTGTACTGTAAATTTTTTATCAAAATAATTTATTTTTTCATAACAAACTTTTGACGAAGACATTTCAACACAACAATCTACATTCAAAACTTCTAAATCGTCTAAATCTCTGTTAAAATCATCTGTTATTCAACCTTGATTATCGGAATATGTAAATAGTAGATTCCTGTGGGTTGTTATAAACATTAAAAGGCATGCGTATTTATAAATATAACTCAAGGAACTAATTGTTTACTTTACGGTAAAGAAAAACAAAATTTTTATAAAAATCTTCACCTTTGCATTTAAATAACACCTTGATCATGACTACTGTAAATAGGTCTAGGATTTTACTAAATCGATGTAATAATGTGACATGCAAATGAAGTTTATGTTAATGTGCTATTTTATTTGCCTGCTATCTATTTTATTGCTTTATTAATACACACTTTAGTTTATCGCGGTATCAAAGATAATATCTAGTATTAAATTGAAAGGTTATATTCTATAAATTAGATCGAAAATGTTTATACATATGAAAATAAATCATTTATAATGAGTAAGCATATTAAAACTGCATGTGGGAATGTATGCCCTTAGGATAAGGATTTAAATTGTCAATTAAAAACAGAAAAATTGGTAAATTATATAAAGCAATTAAAATTATACCAAAATTATTACATTAATTTTTTAATGGTCTAAATAAAAATTGGTAAAAGGAATATACATATTTAAAGAATGGATACGTAATTTCCATTGTATTTTAAGGAGCTAAAAACGTCGGTGTCGATATTAAAATACAATTGTGGTTTGCGCTGCATTTGTTTGTAAAAGTTATAAAAGCTATACAAGAAGAAGATACAGGAAAAGCCTTTGACAGGTAAAAATCTATATTATTCAGTTACTGAATTTCAGTTCAGTTTCTAAATAAACAAATATGCGGTATTTTATTAAGAATAATATAATTTGTAATTAAATTATGCATGAAACTGTTTACAGATTGGTTTGCACTTTTCAACATCTACAACGATCTGATGCGTAATCTCTCTGTCATTGTCTGGTAAAAGCTTATTACCAAAGATAATACATTATTATCTTTGCTTATTACTACCCAATCCCAACTTGATTACTTATGTCAAAGTTCAAATAAAAAAAAACTAACTAACCTTATAATTTCATAAAACAGTGCCGCTTATTACTTTGATAGTTCAATTAACAAATTAACTAAAATTGCTCCAATTATCGCTTAAAGTACTTCCTATATTCCACTTTACTAAAAGTTGCTCTATTAATGAAATAATTACCATTGTTAATTAGATATAATTATCGACAAAACTTAAAATGGGTCAAGAATAGATTTAACGACAATTAATGAATATAATAGTTATTTATGTCATAAGGCTGAGAAGTAAGTCTTTGTGTTGAGCACAAAGTTTGAAGCATATTCTCAGCCGGAAATTATAATAATTATTAAAAGTGGAATGTGAGGTTATAGTATATCAGACAGTGGTCGAATTTTTTTATTGATTTTTTTTAGACTAGTAGGTAAAAAAATTTACCCGATTGGTCTAAATTATTTTTACAGACTAGGAGGTTTTTTGATTCCATATTTATGATATAATTGCTAAAAGTGATAATTCACTGCCCGTCAAAATTAACGCATAATAAGTAAAATATTTTTAAAGCTCTTTATTTAATAATTAAAAAAACGTTCGAAAAATAACTTTAAGGGATTTTTTTTTAAGTAAATAAAAATATTTTCGTTAGTTTACCCAGAAAATTTTGTACAAATCAAAAGAAAAGTAACGAAGATACAGCTGTCGGTAAAAATGACCCCTTTTTTATTATTTTTGACGACTTTGAAGCGTTGTATTTTCGTTACTGTTCGTTTGATTTGTACAAAATTTTCAGGGTATACTAACAAAAATACGGACTTTCACAACATATTTTTTATTTACTTAAAATAAAATTTCCTTATAAAAGTTTTTTTTCGAGCATTTTTTTATTATTAAATAAAAGGGCTTTAAGGATATTTTATCAAAAAAACCTTGAACACGTAAACTGATATACTATAAGTTGAAGTATTTTTTTTACAAAATTTCATAAAGATTGGTAAAGGCGTTAGAGTTAGAATTTTTTTACTTATTATGCGTTAATTTTGACGGGTAGTGTATATTTTTTGAGAAGGAAAGTTTTTTGTTGCTAAGGTTTGTTGAAAAGTAACTTAAAATCTCCATGGAAAGTGATCAAGAAAATAAATTTCTCCCGTGGAAATCAAAGTTATTGCCTAGTGAGTTAAAGCAGCAGTAGGTATGAGTGCTTCTAAGATATTGACCAAAAAAGTCAAAAGTATTGATCAGTAAAAACGCCGACAATGTTGTCCACATCTTTTATTTCACTCAAGAAACCATACAAGCGTAAAATGCAATCCCATTTAATATTCTTACGTAGCGAGCAAGCTTGCCACTACCTTGTTGCTCATTGTTATCCAATCGGATTATGAAATTTTAACGAGGCCGGCCTTGAACTTCGCCTTTGTCTGAGCGCCATATGCTCGCGAAATTTTCGAAAAACAACCGAATAAACCCGCAAACAAGACGCGTATCTTAATCGTCGCAAGACAGGGACATTTTTTATGGACCTCGCGAAACATCTTTACGAGTTTACGTGATCAAATTTGATGCTTTTAGGAGATTTTAGGAGATTTTCAAGCAGTTGCTGACTAACCTACATCCGTGAGAATAATAACAAAGGATGAGCGTAGTTATTAGGTTTTGATGTTTTTATTTTAATAATTTAATTTTATGAATATTTTAGTGAATGCTTTTTTGAAAATTAACATAAAATAGTCAAATTTTAAATAAATCATATCATCATTAAACTATTAAAATAATCGTTTTAAAATAATAAATAAATATATAAACACGGGCGCCAAAATAGTTATTTCCTGCAAACTAAAATGAAAACATGTTTTTCTTTTATTGTGGTTTTGAATGGCTTTTGGCTGCCAAGTATATTATATAATAGCACAAATTAATTCAAAAGGGAAATAATAATTATTGCCCGCTATTATTGCGAAAAGGTAATTAAGGAAATTTAAATTTATGTTTTATTATTATTATAAAACATAAATTTAAATTTCTCTAATTACCTTTTAGCAATAATAGCGGGCAATAATTTAACATTATAATACCACCAAATTTAAACAGTTTAATTTATATATACAGTGTGACCCATTTGTTGGTCACTAACCCTTTTAAAATCTTTATTTATTGTGCAATTTTTAGTGTAGATCTTGATAAACTGTATTTTTTTACCAAAAAACGCCATATTAACACTGCACTGGATTTTCCACCCCTCAAAACGACCCTATACTAAATTTTATTAAAAAAATTTAACTAGGAGAGATTTTGTTGCCAAATAAAAAATGAACTATATGTAATAATTATTTACAAAAATTTATTCTGTTAAGTTATCCATGGAAAAAACATTAAAATAAAATTAAACCAAACTAAAACTAAACTGGTATAAATATTCCTATGCTTGGTTTTGACAAATAAAAATCGCAATAGAAACTTAAAACTACAATGAAACAAAAAACTGAGAATATAAAAAATTCTCTACAATTATATTTTCGTCACCTCTACTTCACAAGAACTACGACTAGGGTAATACAAGCCTCCGCAACCATTACTCCAGAACAAATATGAAAATGTATTGAAATACATGGCGGATTAGTAAAGGTGACGAAAATTTTAATTTTATTTCAATGTTTTTTCATAGATAACATGATAGAATAAATTTTGTAAATAGTAAATAATGTGTATTTTTAATTTAGCTACAAAATCGTTCCCACTTAAAATTTTTCAATAAAATTTAGTATAGGGTCGTTTTGAGGGGTGTTGAATCTAATGCCATGTATAGATTTTTTTAATCGCTAATATAAATTCTTAAAAATTTATTCTCAAAAACTAACATGGTAGGCCTTGTATTTTTTAAAAATATGGTGTTTTTTGCTCCAAAAATACAATTTATCAAGATCTACACACACTGCATGTATATTGGGTTTCCAAAAGTCGCGCACACACCTTGAAGGTCATTGTTTAAATATTATGTAAATTAGGCTTAATCCATATTAATAAGAGGTAAAACACTATAAACAAGGTAAACCTAGTATTTTTAAGTTTACAAACTCAATGTTTACACGCTCATATCTTTTTAAATAATGAAGATAGATTTTTTAACAATGTTCTGTGATCCCTTCCACCAAAGGCGATTTTTTAAACACCCTGTATAATTTACTTGCGAAAACCCTGACAATGTCGGTTTCAAGTTTAACCAGATGGACTTATTAGGATAAGTCGCCTTAAAAATGTACAAGTGCATAAACTACTTTCCAATAATTCAATAAGGCTGCATTTCTACCACGTTATTTTCACAAATAAATCATAAATAAGCAATAAATGATTCATGAGCGTTCCGAGAAAAACAATATCAAAAGCTATTTCATGATTTCACATGCAGGAATTTCCTTTTCATCCTATTTTTGAATGGTTAACTCAACAAGTTAAAATTAAATTTGTATTATAACTGTATTGCATATGGTTGGCCATGTCTTCTTAAATTGATATCCCTACAAGGCTTGATCAAACATTCCTAAAGAAATTGTGTATTCTTTAATAAAACAATATTCTGCTACATTCAATATAACATGTAAAATGTTATTATCACAACCACTTTTGTGTGGTCTTTTAGTTTAAAAAATAATGTTAAATTTTTATTTTGTAATTAATAAGGCTTTGGTGATCAATTTTGAACATGATTTGGAGATATAGGGTTAATATGATTTTTTTTCCTTAAAATCATCCTTTATTAAAATCATTCAGTATTAGCACCCAATTAAGAAAAAAGGAAATTTAAAAATCTACTATTTTTAGCAACTATTCCAGTAGTATTTAATTTAATTACGGTAGCTTATACTACAATTTTTTGTTACTACAGAGGCTACAAAAATTACCGAGTAACGTGAAATGGCTGATTAGTCTATGAAAAAAAAAAAACTCACTAAGCAATAAATATAAAGTAAAGCCAAATATACATGTTGTTATATATAAATTTGTTTTTTATTTTAATTAAAATAACATTATCACTATTTTTTCTAAAATTTGATTTCAAAATATTTATTTTTAAACTGGTCAAATCCGATCCTCCTTGATGAGATATTTAAAAAAATTATTTTTCAAATTAATAACTATTATAATTACATTAGGGGAAAAGTTCACAAATAATAAGAGATATGTATCCTAACCACTAGACCATACGGGATATACTTTATATTAAACAAAACTAATTATTATTCCGCGCGCGCGATTATCTTTAAAACGCTTATCTTTATCGAAAAGACTAAAGAAAATTTTTTTGTGGATTAGTACATTTTTAACAAAAATATGTACCTACTATTCATTTACTATAACATTTAAAAAAAAAAATTTTTTTTAAGTTTTTAAACTTTGACGTCTTTTGAATGGCTAGGTTTACGAAAAAAACATAAGACCTTTTTGTAAAGCATTTAATTCCCTATGAAACTATATATTGAGCTTGGCTTTATATTCATTTGTTAGTGAGATACTAAATGTTTTTATTGGACCAAGTCTAATTACTGTTAATGGTAGGACTCATACGTAGACAGGCTTATCTCTAAAAATGAATAGCTACTAGTTATTAGTGGCTGCTTTTTCACTTATACCATGGTTAACCATGATATCCCTAGCCAATTATTATGTAAAATTGTTGCCTGAATCTGAAAATACCGTCAAAAATTATAAAAGTAGAGCAGTTTTTGAGATATACTAATTTCCATATTAAATAGAAAATTAAGTATATCTCAAGAACTGTTCTACTTTTATAACTTTTGACATATTCGGATTAAGGGGACAATTTTACATGGGAATTGACTGCTAAATGTTCGGGATACAAATTGCTATTGATGAGAATTATTAGTGGCTGCTTTTTCGCTATGACAATTAGTCAAATTTATTTTTAGAAAGGTCTTTTGATGTGCCCAACAAATAATTTTTCGACATCCGAAGTAAAAAAAAATGGTAGATTTTGAAATCACCCTCAGGGTGAGACTTGCGCTTAAAATGTATACAGGGCTCCCACGGCTAAATTACAAATTTTATTTAGGAATTTAGGAGGATTTTGTAAAATTTTAGGAGAAATAAAGTATGGAAATGAATTTCTTTAACTAAATAAAAACTCTTTACTACTTAAAAAATAAGGAAAAAATTAATATATTATATTGTTATATTGATTTTTTAGCCAAATCGCTCGACGAGTTTTTTTTTAATATAAGTAAGTAAGTAGTAAGTATAAATTTCACCACACTTTTAATTTTATTTAAAAAAATGCGTTGATAGATTTGGTTAAAAAACTATGCCAAAATCAAATGATGTTATATTTATATTTTAAGAAAAAATATGTTAACCGTTTAGTTAATAACTAACAGTAATTAAATCGGTAAGATTAAGAATAGTACAAGTCCAAAAGTAAAATTTTTGATAAAATATTTCAAAAAATCAGTTTTATAGTTCTAAATGCATTTTTCTTAGAATATTTTAACTATTTTATGAAATATAATATTCATATTCTGTAAAATAATTTATATCTTCTCACAAAAATGTATTTTAAACTTGTACTGTTGTTATTCTCACCGATTTAATTGTAACGTGGATCTTAATACTTAAAAATCTCATAACAAAATATAAAGTTTGCAAAATACAGCAAAACATTCTTTAGATTGTTTACTATTTTAGCTGTCATTTAAAAGGAAATTAAAAATTGTTTGATATATAACACTAGGGTGTTTCATTTAAACCGAATTTTTTTTTTCTTGCTGACTCATAAAAATTTTGTTTTTTAGGTTGAAAAAAAAATTCCCTGAAAATTTGAGCCCTTCATTTTGATTTTAAGTACTTCCTTTTTAATTTTGTAGTTTTTCCATATAAAACGGATCTATTTTTAATCATTTTTACTTTAAATTTCTATATTTTGGCCGGGTTTTGAATAATAATTTTTATCACCATAATTTTCTGCATAGTATTCACGGTTTTTGAGGCCCTGCATCAATTTTGTTTTTGATTTATTTACGTTGATTGTAGTAGCTCCAAAAGTCGTTTTTTCACTCTTTTCACATATTTTTGAGAAAATCGAGCGAATGACTGGTTTTACCGAAAAAGTTCAAATAAAAAAGTTGTAGAAAATTTAATTTTTGACTAAAAAGGTTTTTACGTTCATATCACTAAAGTGCTTTGTTTAAGAGATATAAGCAATATATAGTTATTGAATCAAATTACATAAATTTCAATAAAACCTATTTTTTCTTTGTTTTTGGTTATTGAATTGCTTATATCTCTTAAACAAAGCACTTTAGTGATAAGAACGTAAGAACCTTTTTTGTCAAAAATTAAATTTCCTACAACTTTTTTATTTGAACTTTTTCGGTAAAACCAGTCATTCGCTCGATTTTCTCAGAAATTTGTGAGAAAAAGTGAAAAAACGACTTTTGGAGCTACTACAATCAACGTAAATAAATCAAAAACAAAATTGATGCAGGGCCTTTCAAAAACCGTGAATACTATGCAGGAAATTATGGTGATAAAAATTATAATTCAAAACCCAGCCAAAATATAGAAATTTAAAGTAAAAATGATTAAAAACACATGCTTTTTATATGGAAAAACTACAAAATTAAAGTACTTAGAATAAAAGTTAAGGGCTCAAATTTTCAGGGAATTTTATTTTCAACCTTAAAAACAAAATTTTCATGGGTCAGCAAGAAAAAAAAAATGTTCGTTTTAAATGAAACACCCTAATATAACACGGTATATATTTGACTAAAAAAACGAAATATCGCTAAAAATGACAATTTTGTAGAAGTTTTTTGTTGTTTTTAAAGAAAAATTTTGGTTGTGATATTATATCATTTTAAAAAGAATTTAATTAAAAAGAACCTAAAAATATATATTTTTAAAAAAAGTTTTCTTAACACTACCTTAATTAAACGCAAGTTAGGTTAGCCTATTTAAATTTAATTTTTAGGATTTTAGGAGTTTTAGGAGATTGAATGCCATTTCAGGAGAATTTTAGGAGTTTTCAAGATTTAAGCCAAATTTTAGGAAATTTATGAGTTTTATAGCTATAGTTTGGATTTTAATATAAAATTACTTACGATTCATGAAACTCCGGCGATTTGGTTTGACTTCTAAAAGCCCCTGGCGGCGACAAACTCTCGGAGTCCGAATATGGACTCGTCACAGCGGAACTGGAAGTTTTGTACGTCACAATTTTTTCGGGGCTCCTCCTTAGAGTCCCGTCGGTGAGGCTCCTCTTCAAGGGGTCGTACCTCCTGGTTTCGTCCTTGTAGAACTCCTCGCGAAACTCCCGCTTGATTGGCTGATTCGAGATGTTGGAGTTCAGAGCTGAGGTGGTGAAGATGTCGTCGATTGGATCTTTTTTGCGGATGACTGTGTGGACTTGCGGGGTGTAAATGTTGTTGTTGTTGTTGTAGGTTTTTTGGTTGCTGAAGTCCGGGTAAACTTGCGTCTGGACTTTGCGTAGCGTATCCCCGGAGCTCTTGTTGACGCTCGCCTTCCGCACCAAGCTGGGGCTCGACAGCCCCCTGGATTCGCTGATCATGTTGGCGGTGGCGTAGGTGAAGGGCCTGCTGTCCTGCCTGGCGTGGTAGGGGATGTTTTTCTCCTCCTCCTCGTCTATGAACTGAACGTTATCGAGATCGAAGTGGTTGTCGCTGGATGCCGTCGCCGACTGAGGTTTCAAGTCTGGAATACTTTGAACAGTCAGCATCATCTCGCTTAGCAGTTCGTCCAATTCGCGGTGTTGCTCCTCGGGGGTGAGGGGGGACGGCTGGGCGGTCAGCGGGGGACTTGCGGAGGCTGTTGTGTTGGCGTTCTGATGGTTACCTGCAATTTTTCGTTTGACTTAATATCGGCATCGAACACGTGGATATGTTTGTTTACAAGTTTATTAATAACTACACTGAGAGAAAAAATGTTTTAAAAATGGTAAAAAGGGAAAAAAAATAACAGTAGGATGAAACCCATTGGAAAAGGAGGGGAATATAATAAAAATTAAAGGAAAAATAAATTACGGGCGATCTGAGTTCGGGAAGTGGGAGGGGGGGGTTTTAAGGGTAAAAAATGGTTTATCTCAAATGAAATATTTATTATTTCGCCTTATTTTGACTTAATATCAAAAAAGCACCCTTATTTTCAATCGAAAATTCTCGCGTCAAAATATCAGCTTTTTTCAAAAAGTCGGTGTGCTTTTTGTTCGATGAACTCTACTTTCTGATGGTGTAAAAAAATATATACATTACTATGGTAAATGTTCTCAGAAAATACAAAAAATATTATAATGAATAACGTAATCAGAATGAAGTATCTAAATTCAATAGTATGATTTACATGTATTTTTTATGAGATTTTCTGACATAAATGTTATTAGAATTTAATAAATAAACTTTTTAACTAAAAAAAATTGCAACAATCACGTTTTTTTGATGAAATTGTACATAATGATTAAAATAAATTTTCGAATTCGAGTTTTTTCGTTATTCATTATAATAATTTTTGTAATGTATATTTTTTTTATACCATCAGAAAGTAGAGATTTCAACGAACAAAAAGCACACCGACTTTTTGAAAAAAGCTGATATTTTGACGCGAGAATTTTCGATTGAAAATTAGGGTGCTTTTTTGATATTAAGTCAAAATAAGGCGAAATAATAAATATTTCAAATCAAATAAATTACAGTGTATTTGGGACATAAAAAGGTAAGTTTTCACCAAATTTCGTGGAAAAAAAATTTTGAGGTTATGTGAAAAAATTGTAAATACAAAAGTTGTAGATCTTTTTATTACCTACAACTTTGACATTTAACTTTTTTCCATAGGACTTGTAGTTTTGCCGGAAATCGAGATAAACCATTTTTTACCCTTAAAACCCCCCCCACCCACTTCCCGAAGTCAGATCGCCCGTAATTTATTTTTCCTTTCATTTTTATTATATTATTCTCCTTTTCCAATGGGTTTCATCCTACTGTTATTTTTTTGGTTTCAAAAATTATCGACCCTGGTCTAAAAGGGATTCAAATATGTTTTGGCGTCATTGGTGTGTCCCATTAAATTAATAGGTGTATAACAATTGTATAATATATTTCTTTTTAAAACATCGTTGAAAAAGGCAATGAAATAAATAGATTTCTTTTTGTATATATATTTTAAAGAGAATACACTTTAAAAGTGTTTAAAAACATTGTAAAAATGTTGGTAAATGGATATAAAACTACAAATTTTTCTATTTGAATCAAATTAACCCGATTAATTAAATTATTATAATTGCTTTTCATGACATGATATTTCTCTTAGTGTACCATTAGATTAATCGTGTGTATTGTTTAAAGAAAAATTCTAGTAGAACTTCTACACGGAGAGAAAAGTATACCTAATGCTGATTACCATAATTATAATACCCTTTACTATATATAATTTATATTACTATTTGGGACAACTATCTTGTCTTAGAGATGTAAAAAAAACGGTTTTTTTTCAGATGTGAAAAAAAAACATGAAAAAAAACCTAGAAAAAAAACGGTTTTTTTTCAAAATGAAATTTTGAATAAAATGTATATTAATAATAAAGTGAAATGTGGAATATATTAAATTTTTCATTATTGAAAATTTTGACTGAGACTAAAAAATCTGATTTCTTATTATTTGGTAGTTTCCACATTAAAAACCAGTAGCAATGTAAAACTTCTACATTAATACAAAAAATTAAAGGATAAAATTTTTTTGCGATTCTTCGGATAGCTGTGTCTTTGTTAAAAATGGTCGTATTGGAGCCGTAAAAAAAGCAATTTGAAGCTTGAAGTTTCTAGTTTTGATATTTTTAGATGAAAAAGTGCAACGCTCAATCCTAACGAATACCGTAATAAAAAAAATCGATTTTTTTGGCTTTCTGGTCCACGGAATGTTCTGACTTAACCACCAATGAATAAATGTTCTACAAGAATTTGCTATTATTTTTTTTTTTTTAAATCCATACTCTACATAAATTTTAAAAATCATGAAATAAGTGCTTTTGGTCGCTTTTTGAAAAATCAAGCTCTGAATCAAAAATATTATATGTAGTTACTTTTTTAGACCAAATCAAAACAAGCGCGGCCCTTATCGGTATTTTATTTTTAATTCTTATTATACTTAGATTTTTTCCATTACTAATAAGTATAGTAAATTTTAAAATATTATGTTGCCATTTTAAATATAAAATATTTTAAAATCGAATATTTTTATACAATTAACAATTGTAACATATTTATTGTACTTTTTAATATACAAAAATGTTATGAGAAAGAATTGAATCTACACCGCGCCAAAGTTTTTTGTTTTGAGTGCGTTTCATCAACTTTAAATACCGACAGACAGGTGTTTTGACCTATATTGGGTATCATCAGTGTCGACACGACACTGTCGAGCAACTTGTAGTAGTGGAACACACCCAAAACAAAGATATACCTGAGCTTATATAACATGGTTGGTAAGCCAACAGAGGCGAGATGTAAGAACATCACGTGATCCACACCGTCTAACGACTCGTCGCGACGTGGCCTTTGCCGCAATCGGTACATACTATGCAACCAAGTAGGTACAATTCTTTCTTAAGTATTACCAGTAATGGGTCAAGAAGGTTTATTGTTGGAAAAAAGAGTACTACCGGACTGTCAACACGGTTTTCTTCCAAAACGTTCTACCATAACGAACTTGTTACATTGTGTAAATGACTGGACCCTCAATAAAGACAAAAACAGTCCGACCGACATAATCTACTTGGATTTCTCGAAAGCGTTTGACAGAGTTCCCCATACTAGATTAGCTTTCAAATTAGAACACATGGGTATTACAGGAAAACTACATGCTTGGATTTGCAGCTTTCTAAGAAACCGCAGATTTTGTGTTAAAATTGGTAAAGAGGTGTCTGATTTCCTTCCTGTTATTAGTGGTGTACCCCAAGGGTCAGTTTTGGGCCCGATACTTTTTCTCCTGTACACGGCGGACCTATCACCCATGTTAAAATCAAAATGTTCTTTTTTCTTGACAATCGGCTTCGTGGACACAGGTTCAAGTTATCTAAAGAACGTTTCTGTACGAAGACAAGGGAAACATTTGTTACTAATCGTGTGTTTGAACACTGGAACAGTTTACCTAATGAAACAGTGTGTACTAAAACTGTGAATCAATTTAAGAACAGTTATGATAGGTTTAGATATTAGTTTTTATACCTTAATTAATTTACTTTTCTTTTTATTTCCTCTTTTTTGTAAATATCATTCTATTATAAATTGTATTCATGTATGCATTTAAAATTTGAGTTTATAGGATTTTATCCTCTACTCTGTAAGTGATAATAATAATAATAATAATAAACTAAGAAAATTGAATGTTTAAAATGTCATGAGTTACTATATTGTATATTATATTTAAATATATTGTTTATTTACCTTAAACATAAAAGTATCTTTATTTTTACTATATTTTTTTATTAATGTGTAATATATTATAATATTAGATGTACACCTTACATTTGATTAAATCATATAGTAAATATTACTATTTGTAGATAGTAAAATCAATTTACTATACGAACATATTAAAAATTAAAATATATATTATACATTTATGATTTAGTAATATTGGTGTTGTAATCTTTACTAAAATTGTATAACAAAAAATAGTATTTTGTATTACAATCTTAATATTGTATTGACGAATAAATAATATTGTTACCCTAAAAATTTGTTAAAGTAAATTTTATTATATTTTTTTTACTATCTAAAATTTACTATACATTTCTCTCCGTGTAGGATTTTGCATCGACAAAATAGTGTATTACTGTTACACTACATTTTATGTGTACCCATAAAATTAAGTTATAAATAAAATGGATGGCACCAACAATTTCCTGTATCTTAAAAACATTCTCGACTTATCTAAAAGATTAAGAGATAAGACACAATTCAACGGAAGAAGTATATGGGTTATTTAAACAATTTCAAAAACAGATAAACATACATATATATACACATAGTTTTCTACGTTTGCAATAGTTGAGAGAATGTTGTGAAAACATTAAACAAAACTAATCCGGCGATCAAATTGTATCTTGATTTAATAGTAAAAAAATAAACACTGGAAACTATTTACACTAATAAATTATAAGTGTTTATATGTTACCTAATTTGTATGATTAAAAGGAAATGTAAAAATACTGTACTGTTATGTTTATGGTTGTGGCATGGTGAAATATCTTTATTTTCTTTGTGTTTTAGAATTCCCCAGTGAAATTTAGTATTTTAGCATGTCGACCATTATAGAAGTACAACACCTAACAGTCCTTATAAAGGATCTTAATGTTTGTATTTGAAGGACTATTAATTATTATCGGAAAGGATGTTGTTGGAAAATCTCACGTTCTAAATTTTACAATGCAAAAAAGTGTTTTAAGAATAATTAATCCTGGTTTATAGAAAATAATCTACATTTTTATTAACGACATTTTTATTATACCTAAAAAACAACAACAAAATTTGTTTGAAAAATTATAATAATTATCGCACACGTTTCCATGACACTAAGTGACCTTTTAAATACACATTGACAAGCTGTGGCTTTATGGCGCTGTAGTCACTGGCTGAATTTAGCTACAGGTTTTTAGTCACGGGCTGAAGTTAGTTTAAGTTAGTTGACAGTTGTCAAATGTTATACAATCGTTAAAATAAAGTGCCTTGTAAAATAATACGAAATGTGAAAATTATTTTATAATATTAATACATAAATACAAAAGTATTAAATAGTTTCTTGACGCCAATATTTAGAGAGATTATATAAACGTATTGATTACGCCGTAGTAGTGCAGTTAATTAGATTTAACTGATAAAGGGTTAAAAAATTTTGAGTACAGTGCCCATTAAACATTTTACTGTGAAAAACTGCTTCTATATCGATTGTTAGTATATTTTCAAGGGATAAATTTTGATTTATAAAGAATAATTTGAGATTTTAACGCCGATAGATTCCCAAGTTAGAAATTCTAACGGGAATTCCAATAAATACAAATGTTACTTTTTGTGATAATATTTTGCAATTTTAGTAATAAAGAAAATCAAAGGGTAACAAATTTTAAAGTATCAATAATTGTTAAGTTTAATTAAAATAATAACGGGCAATGTTAATGGTGAAAATTTCGTCAAAAATGCTTGTTGGGATGGTTACTTTATTTTCGTATAGATGTCTCTTTATACGAATGTTTAATTTAAATAATTTTTTAGATAATATTAAGTATTTGTCGTAGAAAAAGTTTAGTTTGGAACTCGTTTATAAACTTTTTTAGGCACTCATTTAATTAAGCACCCACTCGCTAGCTCTCTCGTGTACATAATATACTATTAAGTATTTCAATTTTAACTTTATGGTTGGATCACTCATTTTCGACCCACTCTACAGGTAGATACTGAAAATCGGATTTTAAATAGAGGTGCAATGAGATAGTACATTACACTACGAAGGAGGTAAGTAGACTTTACCAGTCTCACCTCCTGCGTGGTGTATTACGTTTTATCTGCTCCCACAGCTAGGTTTCATGTAATAAAAAAACTTTTTTTTAGAAATTTATTTTGACACTGACACTAAGTAATTTTTTGACATTAAAGGATGTCACAGTCTGCTATGATTTTGTCGTTATAGCAACCAGTCTTTTTCGGTAAATTCAACTTACCTGCCATGGAACAATGTAACAATAGCCTAGTTTTCATAAATAATATTTGTTTGAAATAAAATGTAATAAATAAATTTAGATATCTTTATATTAGCGAATTAAAATTATGTTATCATAAATTGATTCTGTGATACAATAATTTTGGCAGAAACAAGTGTAAACAATTATTAGTGTGATATATTGAAAAGAAAATACCAATTTGGCCACATTTCAAAAAATGAGTCAATAGCAAAACTAAAATTATTTTTGGCGTATAAATAAACCACTGTACATTTAATAACAAATCTGTTAGATTCTAGAGTCACATGATAAGTGATGAAACACAAAATCGATATGAGCGATAGTGGGGAGGCGTTAACGTAGAGGGGATCATATTGGCTTGTGCGTTAATGGCGTAAGAAATTGGTGGCTGTGCATAAGTAAGAAAGATGAAAATAAACAAATCAAATATGGCTGTCGCCCTAAAATGGCTGATTGTTTCACAACCATATTCGCCTGGGTATCAAATAAAAGGGTTTGACGAGTAGAATGTGGGTCACTTGCTTTGAGAGCTTCCAGAATGGTAAAAATGTTCAATAGGTATTTTTAAAATATCAAAACCGAAATTTTAATAAAACTTTATACAATTTTTTTAAGTAAAACAAAATCAAATTTCTTTTCAAACATTTTTTTGACTGACCTGCCGATGATATGCCAGAGTCCATGGACACCGTAAGCGGACTAGATACGGCACCGGGAGATAATTCCGGTTTTTTTGCTATCGTAGCGTATATGCTACCGTCCAATGGCCCGAACGTGTGATTTACGTCGTCTGAAACAAAAACAAAATCATAAAATAAAATAAAAAAAAAGAAAACCGCAAATTTGTACAGCGATTGTTTTGGCGCATCCATCGTGGATCCTCGTATCGCCATTTTTGTTACAAGTAAAATACTAAACGTAATCACACACCCACCGGGTACATATGTATATGTATGTGGAAAACCATGTAATTTTCCAATTTTACAATTACAATCCTGGTGTTCGTGTTTTGCAGTCGATCGCCAGATGTTTCAATATCGCGCGTCGTTTTGTTTTGCCCGAACAACATAAATTGACAGTTGCATTTGTTTTAAATTAGATGCCGTGTTTCCGTGTAATTGGTCACGACGTTCCAAAGTTTGAAATAGACGATTTCGTTTATGGCGAAATGGGATTTTTTGAGATTATAGGCATAGATTTTTATATTGCAGGATATATCCTGTTATTTATCAAAAGAGATCTGAAATCTGAAATAGCTACACGGAAAAAAATGAAATGGTATATTTTATTGTTGACAATTTACAGTAAGCCTAAATATAAAATTCAGTCAATCTAACCATATGGGTTATTGCGGTTAAACGTAAAATTACTGTTGAATTTTTTATTGTTGCTTTTACTATATATCCAGTGACTTTAACTAGATAGTTTAGTTAATTTTAATAAATGAATTTTTACAGTAAAATTTAGTTACTTTTACTGTATTTTTTATAGAAAATGAATATAAAAAGGGCGACATCTGTGTTAAACAATAGCAAGTTGCTATAAGCATCGTATACAGCTCCCAATCAAAGGGCTTCGCGCTCACGCTATAATAATTAAGGCAGGGGTGGTCAGAAGGCGTTCAACAAATATTCGGAAGAGATTGTGTTTGTGTTGTGTCTAGAGGGATTAGTGAGACATAAAACTTGTAAGGTACGTTAAAATGCATTTAATCATTAAAAATAACTAAGTTTACTAAAATGGATTTGTACTATAAATTGCGTAACTAGTGCGGTCAAGACTCGAGTCTTTCAAGATGGATGGGGTGGGTTGTTTTTTATCTATAATTAACTAGTTAGGTACTATAAAATCATAAATAATTTTGCTTTATTTTGTGATTTTACTGCTACTTTTAGAGATTTTATAAACTGGCAGATAAATTATCACATTCTTAAACTTTAAAAATCTTTAGGCATTTATCTATGGTTACATTTAAAAATATATGATCAAATTTTGTGTGTAAGCAAGCGGTTTTTTCGGTTGCAATTATTATTGAACTCTGTAGGATTGGGTAATTGGGTTTAGAGATTTATAAACTAGAAAAAAAATGTTTAAACTTCTGCTTTATATTAGTAAATACTAAAATTTTAATAGAACAATATATTGTTATAACAATAATAAGAAACGTCAAATTTACAATAGAAATATTAAAGAACTAATGACGTCATTTTTTTGCACGAGGACAATTTACAAAACGACCGACGAAGGAGGGAGTTTTGTAATGGACGAGTGCGAAAATAGTATATTAAAGAACTAATGTCATAAGACGTCATTTTGTTGCACGCGGACAATTTATAAAACGAGCGACGAAGGAGCGAGTTTTATAATGGACAAGTGCGACAAAAGGTCTTATGACATGAGTTCTTTATGCTATTTTATCTATTTTGCAAACATTTCATAAAACAAATTAATTTTATACCTTATATTTAATTTGGTGGAATTTTACTTTACATAGTTGGTATCACATTTTGAAGTTTGAAGGGTCATTAACCTTTCAATCATTATCACATTCTTTCGCTATGGCGTCGTTAATTTACAATAAGTATTTACAATAAGCGGCTGTTAAAGAAGAAAAAAGGATTTTCTTTGGTGTTAAACAAAATTTATTGCACGAAAAGTCTCGTAAGTACTAGAAAACAAATCATAAAAATATTATAACCTATAGGTATTCAAAATTGTATTTTACCAGTAGCCAACCTATAAAATCAAAATTTTGGGTGGAATAAAGTACCTCATTAAAGAACCAAAAGCGGTGTTATAATGAAGTCATTATGAAACCAAAATAGATAAAAGGTATTATGACATGAGATATTTTTACTATTTTTTCTATTTGCCAAAATTTCGAGAATAATAATAATTCATATTGGCGTTTCGTACTGTCTCCAGTGGCAACTGTATGATAAAGCGTATTATAATACATGATTTTTTTATACATTTTCACATAAATGTGGCAGGGTGCATAATGCACATTTTATACCATTTTTATTTTTTTCAGGAAAAATAATAAAATTTTAATTGTTATAAAATCTGAATTGTTTTAATAAATTTTGAAATTTATCGATAAACAATTGTTAATTAATAGTAAATTATAAATTTTATTAATAAAAATTTGAATTATCTCACTTGGGGGAACCCAACTTTTTCCGCAAACTTTTTATTTAATATTATAAACTCTTATAAATTTGGTGTGGGTTATAGCTTCCACAAAAATTGCGGCAAATATGAAAGTTTTACATCAAAATGCACATTTAGCACGAAATTGAAAAACAAAATCGACGTGTTCGGGGATTTTTTTTTTGAACAAAAAAAGGAATTTTTAAATGAATTTTTGTCATACTTTTTCAGGTCACTGTATATAGTTACCAGAGTATATAAGGATGTTAAGGGATAGAAGTAAAATGTACGTGACGAAATTTTAACGGAGTGGCAACTGGAAGAATATATTGATAAGTTTAAAGGTTAGTTTTTTATTATTACTAAATTCATTTTATTATTACAAGATAATTTTTTTTATTTGGACTTTGCATTGTAAAAAATTTAAGGTTAGTAATTGACTATATTGTGTAAAAAAACTAGTGAAAAAATTAATTGTGGTTATGTTATTACAATTTTTTAATTATTTATTACATACATTTTAAGCCTTTTTTTAAATTTAGTTTTGTTTTTTTTTGGTTAACTTTTCGTATAAAATTAAAATATTTATTGATAAGAGTGATAGGTGTTTCAAACATTTTCTTATTATTCTATACCCATAAAACAAGTTCATGGACGTTCTGTTTGTTAATAACAAACAGATTTACGTTTATGAACTTAATTTATGAGAATTAAAATAAAAAAAATATTTGAAACACCCAATCACTCTTATCAAACTCAAAATAATACTTCTGTAAAGTAGGAAACTCGGTATGAAAGTATGTAATAAACAGATTTAATAAAATTATTTTAAATTAACGAATTATTAAAATGATATTTCGAAAAATTATGTTTATAAAATATAAAAATAATGTTTAAAAAAGTATAGTTTAATAAAAGTTTTTTTTATTTATTTGTTGTTTATTATTGCCTGAATAAACCCTTAATATTAAAAATATTTGTATAATTAATCCTAATATACAAGATGGTAAGTATTACAAGACAGTGTAATTAATCTTACTAGTTAATATATTTAACTGAACTCACCGAGTTATTTAATTTTGCTATATAAGATGGTACGTACTACAATACGGAATATTTAATATTACCAGTTAATATATTTAACTGTACTTACTAAGTTATTTAATTTTACTATATAAGAAGATACCCATTACAATCCAGGATAGTTAGGGCTACAATCTAAAATATTAAAATTTACATTCTTAGTTCGTTATATATACAATACTTTTTAACAATAAAAATACTGTTAAATTAACATTACATAATGTTGTCCAAATACTAATTAGAAAATATAGTTAATTTAACTGTATTTACAGTAAGTCTTACTGTATTATTTTTTCCGTGTAGGTTGGCTATTTTGCTTCTCTATGATTATAGTATGATATGATATGAGTATGGTTCTTGTAATTTTCACTTAAATTTGGTTCTTGACAGCTATTAAAAAAAAAGTTTTATATACACTGCCCAACAATTAAACTGGATAACTATATTTTTCTTTAGTGCACCTGCCTTGTAGTAGATATTAAAATGCTCCACACCGTGAGGGATAAATGTCACCTGGGTTCTCTAGTTGACATCACAACTTTTATCTCAACCCTTCATCTTTAGGCGAGTTGTCTCCAGTATTCACCTCGTTCCCCACAGGGTAACGTTAACGTTGACACACTAATAGGGCTACTTCACATCCAAACAGGGTTTTTTAAAGAAACACTGTATTTTATTTTTTGTATACCTAATTCTTCTGAGTATAATTCCTAAAGCAATGTATTTAATAAAACAAATAAGTAAACACAACGTAGAGGTTCAAATTTGGGTAAGACGATCACGAGCCAAAAAGGTTCATTCATTATTTTTTCATAAAACTTGTTTTAAACAAACCTACTGTATTTGTATATTCATTCTTTCCTTGTCAGGAGAAACATACTTAAGAATAATAGAAAATCATAGAGGAGCAAAATAGCTATTTCAGATGTGGTATCTTTTGATAAATAACAGCAGTATGTTAGCGTCAAAGTAAATAATAGAGCTTCTGTTTTACATTATCCTTTTATATATTCCAGGTCGAGATTTGCTATCAGATTACATGTAAGCTATACATGTGAGAGAATTTATAAAAATTATTATTTATTATCTATAATGTATTCTTTTATGGTTATTAAATAACCATTAATATTGCGGCATTTCTACTTGATCTGATATTACTTGTCGTACAGATATTAATATCACTCAAACATGATACAATTTCATTTATAAATCTATCATTATTATAACAAGTATGTCCTTGTTAATTAATTAATAAGGTATTGAGTGTTTTACATAATCCAAATTTATTTTATCTCAATTTTCTATAAAAGGATGCACTACATCTATAAAAATTCAACCACCTGTATGTTGTTTTGTTTACTGACATAAAATTAACATATTTCCCACATAGAATCTTAAATGTATAACATTCTTTACCCATTTCAAGAAAAATGTACAGTAAAAATCTTAAGGTCGTATGAATGAAAAATCATATCAATTAAAATTTCTGTACCTTTTTAGGTACCAAATTTGGTGCGTCTCACCTTGCGGCCAAAGCTTTTAAAATAATAATAT